AGGTGGAACAGCTGGAGACTTTAGACACAGAGAGGGAGAGGGGCTGTGTGCTGACAACCAGGGTGCAAACTTGTAGTGTATACCCTTTGGTTGGTTGATGATGCATGGAGGGGATTGTAACCATGGCAATTAAATGATATATGATAGAATGAATGTAAAACTAATGCTTTCCCATGTAAACTATCACATAATTCACAATAAAACATTAAAAACAAAACAAAACCTATGGAGCATACAAAACAATATAGGCAGTCCGACTGATTACTACAAGAACAAGCAAGTTGTTCGCCCTGGAGACATCAAGGCAAGTGGTCAGGTCCCCTCAGGGCAAACCCCTTCCAAGACTAAGACTCAATGGGAATATACGAGTAGACATGCGCTCTGATTGGTGACCACATTCCTCACCGATAAGGGGAAGTGAGGGAAAAACAGCAATGAAGCTGTGAGCTAAGCCCTACAATGTTCAATAGACTCCTGTGAACCTGGGTGGAGACCTGGTTGACCAGGGGCAAGACCTGGGGACTCTCAGGCCCAGAGTCAGTGACATAGCCACAGAAGACTATAGTGAAGTGTCCAGCTGATAAGAAGAGAGGGCATATGCACAAGAACAACCACACTTGCAGACAATACCCACTTGACCTGGCTTTAATGACAGGAAGATCAGAGCTCAACTAGAAGTAGAAAGATGAGGAAAAAAGAGTAATCTGATGCAATTTGATGAACTCGACCTACACCTATGGATGCAGTAGCTCAAAAGTGGGAACAAATCTTTACAGCGAGGATCATTCCCACCCCCTCCACACACACAGTAGACAGGGATGGGCAATTTGGATATTGGCTATCCAAAATGGGGGGTAGGGCTACAAAGGCAAAAAGTGACTAGCTTACAAGCTTTCAAGTGGGAACCTAGATCCAGAGGGCGTGGAGGAAGGTAGACTCTCCACTGAGTAGTATCCAATCTGTCTAGGCAGGGCTGATGAAAGGAAATGCGGATGGGTCTCTTGTGATACAATAGTGAATAATTGTTATCAGGACTGATTGTGAGGGTTGGAAATATAGGTAGACATTTTATAGCAAAAGGAGGGGAGTTATTGACTTTGAAGTCTAGGAGTGGAGGTCCCTGGGACCATCAAGGGAGAAGAGCAGAGTGGGACGGTACCCAGAGAAGCAGTGACGCCAGAGATGGAGGCAGAGACAATGATGTGGAGCGATGGAGTGTGGAGTGGCTGGGGACTCTAGACCCAGAGAGGGAGAGGGGCTGTGTGCTGATGATTCAGGCTTGCAGGGTATACCCTTTGGTTGGTTGATGATGCATGGAGGGGATTGTAACCAGGGCAATGAAACGATATACGATAGGATAAATATAAAGCTAATGTTCTCCCATGTAAACTCACATAATTCACAATAAAACACTAAAAAAAAAAACCCAAAAACCTATGGAGCACAGTTTTACTCTGACACACATGGTACTACCATGAATAGGAATCAACTCAGTGGCAATGGCAACAACTGCCCAGCCCCAGGCTCCAGCAAGGGCTGTGGTCGTGTGGCATCAAGCTACCTGCCTCAGGGGTATGATTTGTGGGTCCTTAAGATGCTCCTCTCCCCTCTGGCCCCTCCCATCACCCTTACCTGTATTCCATCCCTCACTCATGCCCCCACTACCACCTACTCTAAGCAGTCCTTGTGAGCTCATGGAGAAGCAGGTGAGCAGGTGGAAGTTTATCCATATATGAAGCTGCCATGCTGTGATTGGGTCCCCTCTCCCCAAGCCTGGAGGAGCAGCAGGTAGTTTTTTGGCCCCTCACCTAACCCACAGTCAATGCCCAGTGTGGGCTGGACAGGAGGGCACTGCTTTGGCCTTTGGTAATCCAGAAACCCTTAGACCCACCCCCTGCTCTTATGCAATAAAGTCATGTTTCCAAGTCAGTTGAGGTGGCCTTTAGGGCCTGGGCCTGCCAACCTGCTGCTTCCCAGTCCAGGCTTGGCTGTGGATTTCTCATCCTCAGATGTCAGCGCAAGAAACCTCACCTCCAGGAAGCCTTCCCTGACACTAAGCAAGTGCTCAATTCATGTTTGCAGAACAAATTCATTCATCAAAAAACCTGAGTGAAAGATTAACGGAGTGACCTTGGGCAATTCCTTTTCCTTAGTTTTTCAGTGTTCAGTGAGTACAGGTCTGCAGTGTTAGTACTTCTTTAGGTTCCAGTGGATTGTGTGAGTAAGAAGCCCTGTGGGTTAGGCATTGGAGTGCTAACTACAACGTTAACAGTTCAAACCCACTAGCCACCTCTTGGGAGAAGCAGTCTGCTCCCACGAGATCTACAGTCTTGAAAATCCTATGATTCGGAATAGACTCCATGGCAGTGGGTTTGGTTTGGTTTTGCTTTCGTCTGAGCGGGGGTAGGGATTGCCAGAATCTGTCTTGGAAGCCGAAGAACTTTAATTCCTGCTTCAGTCCCGATTCTGTTTCTTTATTCCCAACTCGGGTGCTGACTCAGTTCTGCCCACCCACCCCCACATGGCCTCTGGCACTATCTGAGGCCATCAGGGCCCACAGGGTTCCTGGGAACCCAGGATACCAAGGTAGAGGGGTGGGGCCAGCCTCTGCCTGTCATGATTCCTGACAACAATCCAGGGCTGTGGCAGGTCTTCATCTCAAGGTTGCCTGGTAACGGCTTTTGCATTCTGGTGAAAAAAAAAAACAACGGTGGCAGCACCAGACAACAGACACAGGGCTTGTGTGAGGGGGCGGGCATGTAGGGTGGGGCCTGGACCAGGGCAGGGATAAACCGAGCTAGCATCTTGTCCCCACCTGTGGCAGGATCCTGGGCTGGGCCCAGCCTGACCCAGTGGGCATCAGTGGGAGTGGGAGGCTTGGGGGGCAGGCAGTCCAGTTCTGCACAGGGACACCAGCCTGACATCTGCCCCTCCCGCCCCCTTTCCCACACCTGCAGCTGGTGCCTTCCACCCAGTGAGCCACAGCCGGTGCCACCTCTCATTAGGTGATGATTTTACATTAATTACCTTAATTAAGCGTCTCTGAGTGCTAATGGCTTGTGTGTGTGGGGGGGGTGGCTGTTCCTAATTACCCTCCCAGTCAGCCTGGAGTGAGGGCCACAGGACTTGGCAGAGCTGGAGTGAAGAGCTGTAGAAAGAAGGGGAGGGGCCCACCAGGGGGCGAAGAGGGGCTGAAATAGTCCCCCTGAAGATGGTCCCTCTTCCCCACAGAGGGCCTGGCTCAGAGAGCTCTCCGTTGGCTGGGCCTCATGGCCTCAGAGGGAAGGTTTGGGGGCACCGTCCTGGGAAAGTGATGGATGGCTTCAGAGCCAAATCCAGGGCCTGGAAGCATTGGGATGGATGGAACGCAAGTCGGGAGGTGGGGACCAGGCAGCACCGCCTGCTCCCTGGACGCCTGTCTCCCTTCCCTATGGCTCCTCAGTCCCCTGCCTGATTTCTTCAGCTGAAGGCCTTTCTCCTCTCCACCCCTATTCAGTCTCCAAAATCCAAGTCAAATGCCACCTCATTCATTCATTCCTTTGTCCATTCATTCAGTCAGCAAGGGTCTGACCTACCTGGGCCCTGTACTCCAAGGTACCCTCAGAAACTTGAAGTCTAGCTAGGGAGGTAGGAAGTTATGAACAGACTGATAGGAGGTGGTATGCTACAAGCTAGGATGAGAGAAAACTCAAGTCTGGGGATCAGGAGAGAGCTCATAGGAAAAATGATGCCAAGGTTGAGTCCTAAGGAAAGGGTTGGCAGATGGTTTCCAGGCAGAGGAAACAGTATGTTCAGTTGGGCTTATGATGAAACCGGACTTGGCCCAGTGAAGAGGTAGAGTGGGATACAGAGAGGAAGTAGCTAGAAGTGAGTTGGGTGGTATTGGTAGGGCCCAGAGGGAGCAGTCTTGATTTAAGAGTCCTAGGGAGGCTTGAGGGACAGGACTGATTTCATTTGAGAACAATGACTCCAGTGGTTGGAGCAGGGATAAGTACAGGCCAGTGCGAATGGGGCAACAGTGAGAAGGCCACTCATTAGGTGATGATTGTAGTGGCTGTGGAGATGAAGAGGGATAAGAGGGTAGACCTGAGAGCTTTGGGAACGTTATGGTGAGAGAGAACCTGGGGGTGAGTATGAGTAGATGGGATGGGAAAAAGGAAGGGCCAAGGTGACACCATGTCACACAGCTCCAGGGACCCCATGCCCTTTACACAATTGTAACTCTGCTATAGGTTTCTGGCTGGTTGGAGTCAGCTTCTGAGGATGGGAGTGAGAATGGTGAATAGGTTTGGGGGATAAGGAAGAATTGGGTTTGGGGCATGTCAAAATCAAGGAGCTTGTGGGACATGATGAGTTCCTGAAGGCCCAGGCCTTATCATTAAGAATGAGTCTGAGCTAGATTTTGGGAAGTGGGGGTTGCCAGCAGAGAGATGCCACCAGGGAGAAATGAGATTGTCTAGGGAGGCCAGGGCTGGGGCAGGAGTTACTGATGCCTGTAGGTTGGACTCCCCCACCAGACCTTCTCCTCTCTGATGGGGCCACCATGTCTATCATCTCCACTTCTGCATCCCAGGAGCCAGCATAGGGCTTGGTCCAGAGGGCGTATTTCCTGAATGAATGAGTGAACAAATGAATGGCTTCTGAACTCAAAAACCCAATACTTTATTCTCTCCACTCAGCATGGATTCAGAGTCCACATTAATCCAAGGCTAGTTGTCCCTTCTCTCACTTACCTGAGCCCCAATCAGACTCCCAGGGGAGGGCTGGGCATACCTTGTCCTTTCCACTGTCCCTCTCAGGTAGGGCATTGTTGAGGGGAAGCAGTAGTCCTCTCTGCTCCCTGGTGTACAGGGAGAATCTGACCTTTTTTTAAGCTTATATTCCAGCCTTGGCCCTAGGCCCCTTTCCAATGATGTTTCTGAGCATTTTCCCCTTGCCCCATAACCTACACCTTTTTAGGGAAAGAGAATACACTAACTTTTTACTTCTAAGCCACTTACCTTGATTTCTACACCATAACCAGGATAGACAGAGATGTAGTAGAAACAGTCCAGGCCAACATCAGGGGGTAAATTAGAGGCTGAGGGGGAGGCCAGATAGCCCTCTGGGCCTGAGAAATTCCAGCTACAAGGGCCTGGGAAGGAGGAGGAAACACAAGTTGTAAGCCTAGCTCTGGCAAAATGGGCCCAAGTAAAACCGAATCGTGTGTGTGTGTGTGTGTATGTGTGTGTGTAGTCTGTCTGTGTTTGTATGTATATGAAGTTGATGTGTTAGGATGCCTAGTCTCTTGTAAGAAGAGGGCCGACTTTTATTGAGCACCTACTTTGTGCAGGCTCATCTCAAGTCTCACAATAGTTCAGTGAGATAGGTCTTTTTGCTATTTTATAAGTGAGGCTCAGAGAGGTTAAATAAAATTCCTTGGGTCATGTTGTAGTTGGGAGAATCAGGATTAGAACCTGTGTCTATCTGATTCTAATCCACATGCCTCCTGCAGGGTGGCCCTTAAGACCAAAGGGTAGGGCAAGCTGAGTGGTGTCAGAGACAGAGGAACTGAGGGTTCCCACAGATTTCCCCTTCCATGCCCATTTCCAGATCTGCAAATTAATAGGTAGCTGACCTGGTGTCTGGACTGTGGTGATGGTAGTGGTGATGATGGTGGTAGTGGTGGTGGTCTCTTCGTCATCTCCTGAAGCCATGGATGTGGCAGTGGTCCCCTCGAGCCTGAGTCCTGTGGTCTGAGACATGACGTCTGGAGCCCATGGCCTGCCCATGTCACCTGGACCCTCTTGGGTTGGAGTCCATGTCCTGCCAGGGGGCGTAGTGCTGGGCCTCTCCCGTGGGCCTGGAGTGGGTACTGCCATGCTGGGCCCTGGAGGTAGAGGAGCTGTAATGTGAAGCGCGGGAGGCTCCGATTCCAGGCTCCAGGGGCCCTCCCTGGATTGCGGCTGAGTGGGTGCTGTGGCAGTGGCTGGAGTGGGGCTGGTGAAGACAGGACGGTTGTCCTGGTTGGCCAGGCGAGGGAGGGGACTCGGACTGAAGCGTGTAGGTGGGTCAGGCTGGAAGGGCAATGCTGGCCTCAGCCTCTCCTGGCTCCTCTCCAGTTCCTCTTGTAGGAATTCCTCTAGCAGCGGGTGGTGGTTGATCAGCTTTAGGGTGGGGGCTGTTGTGACAAAGTGGACTCCTCGTTCTGGCTGCTCAGGTGTAGGGGCTGCTGTCATTTCCACATCTGTCTCCTTGATGTCTGGGGCCTGCCCTTCACCCATAGTTGGGGCTTCTGAGGAGAGTCCTGAGATAATAATGAATTATCAGAAAGTGTCCCCTTGTCCCAAAGTGTCACACCCAGCCCAGACAGTGGGAGATCCAACTCTCTTTTGACAGAGAAACTTGGGGGAGTGTGCTCACTGTTGAGAATCACAGAACTATAGACTCTTAAACTGGATGTCAGATCATATCACATGCTTGTAGGATGGCACATGAGATATTCCTATCACTACAGCACCAGTGGCAGGCATTGCTAATTGATCATTGCACTATTTCCTGCTATCCTGATGAGATTCTGAATCCTTTTCAACATAGGCAGCCATACCTGAAACCTCAGATTGACATGACAAATATATATTTGCCATCATGAATGGAATTGAAGGGCCTATCTTACTGATGAGGAGACAGACCAGAGAAAGGAAGTAATTTGCTCAAAGTCACACAGCCAGTCATTAGAGGAACTGAGATGAGAACCTTAGCAAGTGTGTCATCCCCCACTTCAGTGCCTTTAATGCCTGATATCACAGGGCATCCAAGTTCACTTTCTGTTCTCAGTGATTCTACTGGCCATTGTTGTTCTTAAGTGTCATCAAGGGTTCTTTTAGGGTAGCACTGAGTAGAATGGGAAGAACCAAGCTCTGGAGTCAGGAAGATGTGGCTTTAAATCCCAGATTCACTACTTTAGGACTGTACAATGTCATGTAAATAAACTAAACTCTTGGAATCTCAGCCTTCTCATCTGTAAACTGGTTTTCTTATTTTGTTTTTTAGGTTTAACTGAGATATGCTATGTCCTCCAGAATTCCCTTTATCTTTCTTAGGACATTAGTCAGGGTTCATCTAAGACAGTGTCTAAAGTAGAGATAACAGATAAACATCAGGTATGCTACAACCCTCTCTGTTTGTGGCAGACATAGCTAATCGATTTTGGCTCTTTCTTGCTGAGGCTTGATGGGATTTCAGAATCCTTCTCAACACAGCTATCCAGGCAGCCACTATCAATAGATCACCTAGATATTGTATGGAAGATGAAACTTGTTTCCTATCTCTGGTTTGAGGTTCAGATTATTTTACTATTGATTTCATTGGCTTATTTAACCACATAGCTAGAGAGATGATGCATATTCTACTTGTGGCCCACTGGGTTCCTCAGATCCTTAACTGCCAGGAAGAGATTAGTGCATGCTGGCTCCAGACTCAGCTCACACAGAATTTTGCCATATTTGAGAAGGCTGGGAGAATATTCCTTATCCTTTCAGCTCTCAAAATGTCTGCACAAGGACTTGAAGGGAATCACAACCGGGGTGAAATTAACTGAGTTTGCATGGAGAAGGTCAGTTCCTCCGCATGTCTGGTGGTGGGGCTCACACCCACCCATGGATTGGCAGGCACTAGGAAGCAGCAGATGGCCTACATTCTGCTCAGGAGAGCATGGCAGCTCTGATGTGTCAGACAAATGGGAGGAGGGAGGAAACTGAGGTGAGAAGCGGGTGCAGGTCAGAGGGCTTTCCATTCATCTGGGTCAGAAGGACCTGGGAGCCCCAAAGCTTTCAGAAACCAGAACTCTTATCTCTTGAGATGCTCATGGAAGCAGCTACCTGTACCCTGGCATTTTATGCCAGGCACTGGCAACACAGTGTCCAGTTAAATGTCCGGCCAGGCTCATACCCCCCAGAGCAGATGGTCCACCAGTGTCCTGTGTCTTTCATTTGAGTCAGAGAGAGAAGGTCCAGCCCGTGCTTGTGACATGCCAAGACAGCGCTCTTCTCTTTGCACCCCCACCCCAGATGTCACATGGTCTTTGATGGGTGAGTGAGCAGAGCCTCATCTTAATATGGCATGAGGAAGGGGAGGAGGAGACTTTCTCACCGCAGACTCTGGAAGCCCCTGGAGTTATGCACGGCTCTGTGTCCTCTTCCAGGACTTCCCAGGGCTCCCAGGGTAGGCACCTGTAGGACTTTTCACTGGGAGAGTGTACAGAGGTCCTCTGTCTTGGGAAATGGTCACAGCGGACACAGGCTTTCCTGTGGCTGCTAGGTGGGTGCTGGGCAATAGAGCAGAGCTAATGGCTACCTCCTGTCACTGTCCATTGCACTGATTGTGTTATCTGGGGGCACTGAGCAGTTGGTTAAATGGGATCGAGATAGCATATCAAACGAGCAAATTGATTCCACCATCAACTGCCACTTGGTCCCAGCAGGAGCCACCCACTGTTAGAGAGGGTAAGATTATCTCTGGGAGACAAGCCGTTTCAGGGGTGAGGGCATGTCCAGACACCTGGTGGACTCTAGGAGGTTCCCGGGGCTGTGACCAGGAGGTCACAGGCCTTCTCTCTACCTGGGCTGATTGAATTTAGGAGTACAGGTGCAGGGCAAAGGGTTGGCTCCCTATACACTGTACCCCCTTAGATCCTCTTGTTATGGTCCTCCCCTCCCCAAGCTGAGGGTGGGATGAAGGGGACAGTGGAAAGAGGTGTTGGGGGTCCAGTCTCATCAGATATCTACTGTGTGCTAGATAGACATTGAGTCAGGCCCTTCACCTGTCTTGTATGTGTAACTCTGTGAGACAGGAAACCGAAGCTCTGAAGAGGTGCTGTGAGGTGACTTACCCAAATTCCACAGTGGGGGAGCTGAGATTTGAACCCATACATATATAAAACAAAAACAAGACCTCAAAACAACCCAAATCCATTACCATCGAGTTGATTCCCACTCAGGTTTTAAGGCTGTAAATCTTTATAGAGGCAGATTTACCTTAGGCTGCCTCTCCAAAGGAAGAGACTAGAGCTACTCAGCAGAGAAGCTCACTGTAGGCAGTCAAGGAAACAAAGACCTGGAGAGAGGAGCGGAGCGGACTTGTCCAAAGTCTTGTGTAGATTGGAGATGGAGCTGGACTCTAACCCAGGAGCTAGGTCCCAAGTTCTTCAGGGACCCGGGTTGAGTATCAGACTTGACGAGTCCTTGGAAAACCTTTGTCTGGGACTCAGGGGTTGCTCAGAGTCCTGGTGTGGAGCTGTGGGTTAATGTGCTGGACTGCAAGGTAGGTTTGAACCACAAGGTTAGCAGTTCAAGCTCATCAGCCGCTCCTTGGAAACCCTACACAGGGTCTCTATGAGTTGTAACCGACTCAACAGCACTCAACAAAAACAAGCAACAACAAGGGGTTGCCCACTCTGTGCACAATCCACATCTGAGTCTAGGAACCAAACCAGAGAACCAGCTCCACAGCTCACATGGGCCTGAGTTCAAAGGTCACATCTGTCACTGCCAAGTTATGTGAGTTTGAGCAAGTTCCTTCTCAGAGCCTCCTCAGCTGTAAAATGGATAGTGTGAAGGGATTTTGTGAGGATGTGAATGCTCTAAATAGCTGTGCTTAGAGGATAAGCTGGGCAACCTCCTGTCAGGGCCCTACTGAGGCAGGCCTCTAGGGTGGGGAGGGGTTGAGGCCTGGGGGAACAAGTTCCTTGTTGGGTGGTAGTATGTGTGACCCTGAGCATATCAGCTCACCTTTCAGAGTCTTGGTGTCTTCACCCTTAAAATGTCCTAGTGGTATTTTAAGGTGGGCAGTTTAAACTCACCAACCACACTGCAGGAGAAAGATGAGGCTATCTGTTCCCATAAAGATTTATAATCTTGGAAACCCTAGGGAGTAGTTCTGTCCTATAGAGTCACTATGAGTTGGAACCGACTCCACAGCTTTGGGATTTTTGGTTTTGTGCAAAGGACTTCATAGCGCTGCATGTTTCCAGAGGACAGTCCCTGGTCACAGCAAGACAGCCCCCCCGCCCCCCCCCAGGACTCATACCTGGTGCCAGAACAAGGGCAGACCCTCAACCTGATCCAAAGAGCTGGGGGCTGCATCCTGTAAGTCGCCCGGTGTAGGGAAACACCCCTCTCCCTTTCTCCACTGCCACTCTTTCCAAGGAGGAGGCCCTGGGAGCTTCCTGGCAGCCCCCAGCCCTGGCATGGCCCTGCCGCAGCCTGAACCCTCCCCCCGCATTAGTTCTTAAGCTATGCAAATAGACATCGGAGGGAGCCCTGTTTAAAGTATTTAGATGAAATGAAAAAAGGCTTTCATCGGCACTAATGAGCCATTCAGGATGCCTCCCTGGTGGATTCGCTCCCGCTCCTGCCTCCCGGCCCTCGCTGGTTCCCCCCTGGTCCCTCTTGGGATTTGAGGCCCTCTCCACCTTAGTCACAGCCTGGGCTCCCCTGGGAGGGACACCTATCTTGTCCTCCTGCAGCCTCTTGGGGCCCAGCTGGGTGAAGGCCCATGTCTCTAGCCCCCACCAGGCCTGGATGGAGCTGGGAGCCCAGCCTGTATTTGGAGGAAGCTGTAACAACTGGGGACCTCTTCTTCACAGAAGCCAGCAGCTAGTGATATCATCCCCATCTTATAGAAGGAGAAACTGAGGCTGAGAAAGATCTAGAAGTCAGCCCGGTGCTGGTGGACCTGGAGTTGGAATTGGTCTCGATGAAGGCAGACTGAGGATGAAATTCAGGGGCCCCCTGCCTGGGGAACTACTGTACCTGGTGGGCAATGATTAGACTCCAGATGCCACCTCAGCATCACCAGACTTGCCCCCTAAGTGCTATAGTTTCTTCTGCAGCTATTTTTGCACCAGACAGCCAGAAAACCTCAGGTTCTAATACTGAATCTGGTCCTCACTAGCCAGGCAACCTGAGCAGGGGACTGGCCCACTTGTGCTACCTCTGTTTCCTTCTCCATGGACTGGGTCAGTCCTGGGTTTGGGGAAGGCTTATGTAGAAGCTGGGCCTGCCACAACTCCTGTGAGGGCAGGAGGAACCACCTGTCATTCTGGCAGCCTCTGTGGAGGCATCAGGCACGGCCCATTCAGGGTCCAAGCTGCACTGGCCCCTCAGTGCCCGGGGGCTGACGGGAAGGAGAGGGACCATAATTCTGGGGTGTGGTCAGGTTTGATTCCCTCCTCTCATCATGGCAGTATCAGCTCTTAGCTTGTGTGTGGAAGAACAGCAGGTGGGACAGGGGGGCCCAGAGGCATAT